TTAATGATACCTTGTAGGCCTACAGTTCAATATCTTACATCAGTTAGGAATAGTAAAATAGTAATTTTTAAACTCTTGTTAAAGTATAAAGTTATTTTTTGTATAAAAGTATAAGGTTGATATAGTATAGTATAAAGTACTTTTAAAAACTTTCGCCAATGCTGGTGAGTGAGTGAGGGAAGCCTTACTTTTAAACTAATTTTAAACTAATTTAATTTTAAACTGGCAGGTGTTCGCCAGGCCTGGCGAACGAGAGGGATCGCCAGGCGCTAACATCTTGGATTCCTGATAAATCTAGCGCTTCGGCGAATGAAAAAAAACGCGAGAAAAAGCAAAAGGTTTTAAAAGTACGGGCCATAAAGTTAACCTTGTTATAGTATAAAGTGTAGTATAGCATAAAGTATAAAGTTAATTTTGTTATAGTATAAAGATATTTTCAACTTCTTTGTTATAGCATAAAGATTTTAACTCCTTTGTTATAGTATAAAGTGAGACTATTGTGGAAACAACATTTTCGTCTTCTCTCGAGGTTAATAATTAAGTTTAGGTTATGTTATGTGCACTGCAGATGTAAACAAATTTGCGCTAGATTTAGCGGGAATGCAAGATGTTAGCGCCTGGCGAACGTTGGGTTTAAAAGTAAGGCCTCCCTCACTCAAAGGTTCGCCTGGCGAAGCTTCGCCAGGTGAACGCCAGCACTGGCGAAGGTTTTAAGAGTACGGGCCTCAGAGGTTCGCCTGGCGAAGCTTCGCCAGGCGAACGCCATCACTGGCGAAGGTTTTAAAAGTACGGGCCTAAAAGATCACTGACTTCCTACTTTGAAAAGTTAAAAGTTACAAATAAAACAAAGAGAAACGGACCAGCCAAGTTCATTTAAAAGTAAATAAATAAATAAAAGGATGTTCTAATTATTCAATAAAAATGTTCTTAAGATCACGTCCAGATCCTATGCAAAGAATATCAGGATCTCAGTACTTAACTTATTATCTTCCGTGATCGTCTCTGTGTTCAGTTTAACAAAATTGGCGACACTGCCGGTGGTTCAAAGCTTCGAAGGATAGCGAACACACTCGCTGACATCTCGACTCGTACTCCTTATTGTTTACTTTTTCAATGCCCTGGTGACGT